ATTCAGGTTTGGTGAGCAAAGAATGGATCTTTGTGGGGTGATGGAATACATCACTTCAGTTTCTCATGGGTTTGTATCTTTTGACTGCTAAACCTTCTTCCCCGCTGCGCTAACCCCAGTTCCATTTCAGAGCACCTGCTGGGCAAAACCCAGCATCTTCTGGGACTTCCTCAGAGCAGCACGTGTGCTCCTCAGCAGGCAGTGTGTGTGCCCTGCTGGCCTGCCTGCTTTAGGCTAATGGGAAATGATTTTTATGCTTTGGACTTAGCTGGTATTTCACATGCCTTCCTGGTTACTGCTTTCTTTTCACAGTGTGAAAATGCGCAGAGAACTTTGGATAACAAACCTAATTTCTCTCTTTGCTTGAATTCAAGCAATGGGCCCCCAGGTTGTTGGGGAAGGCTGGAACTGAAGCACCTGACAGAAGAGTGTGTGCTCCCTTTGCTTTAGAAACCAGGCAAAAAAGATGATTAACCAGGCAGCCATTTATTTTTTCAAGACAGGAAGTGATGGCTGCAGCCTTGTATTTAAAGGTTTATTTTAGCAAACAATGTTAATTCTCCCAGCTGGTGTTTGCTGCAGCTGGACTCCTTCCCTGCTTACAAGCTTACGTGATCTCATGGAAAATGACCCAGGATCTCTTCTCTTGGTCACAGAGGTGTTTTCTTCTGTATCTTCCTGACTGCAAAGCTTATCCTGTGCCATTTCTCACCTCTGCAGAGGGATGGCATTGCATTGCTGTCTTTGCCTCTTCTGCCTGACTTTCAAGTGGATTGAAGCAACCTTATGGGATCCATTTGTCTGATAGGGTGGGAAACCTGCAGCAAAGGGTAGGTGGCTGGGGACAGTCGAGTGAGAGCTGCTGGATCCAGCAGAGACCATCCTCTTGTGGCTGGAGGTCACCTTGTTCCTCTTCTCTGGGCACTCAATGTAGTGGACAGCCATGAACTGCATGTTTTGTCTCCACCATCTACAGCCACCTCACTTCCAGTTTGCCTGAGGAAGGAGCAGTTTCCTGGGAATCTGGAAAACTGGCTTGTGCTAGACAGTAATGTTGTTCTAAGGGTACTGCTGCAGTAGAAGTAATTAAACCCCTCCCAGTGTAGACACGGTTAAACTGAGACATGTCTTTTAGCCTGGTTTCCTATGGAAACGAGCCTTATGCAATCCTGCTGTCTGTCAGCCTTTCTCCCCCTCCTCCCCCCAGTAGTTTTTGCACTGGTTGGCCAATTTCAACCAAATGCGACAGAAGTCTCCAAGCTGTCAAGTTTCTACAGATTTTGTGGAAATAGGTGTTTGCATAGAGCAGAGAGACTGTGTTGGAGCCCATTTCAGAGGGAAAGGCTTTGACTCATACTGGTCACTGGAGAATCCCAACATGGAGGAAAGCTTGAAATGCCTCTGGTGTGGGAACAGATGGAGTTGGAGTCTGCACCTGTATAAAACATTGCCTTGCAAACTCGGATCAAACTTAAGGGCAGTTCATTTTGTCGAGGTGGCTGCTCCCTTCCTCTGCTGGAAATCCCCCTGCCAGGGCAGGAGGATTGGCCTGTGTAGGAAACAACCTGAAATGCTGCTGTTCATAGCCTGGTTTAATAGAACAGCCTTAAATGAGTACGGTTAAAAATACTCTGGCTGCAAGGGTCGGTGTTTTAGAAGCTATCCCTGCTGGGAGAGGCAGATGGTTGGAGGCCATAATAGCTTCAGTTCACATTTAATCCATGGGTGTTTGGAGTCAACATCCTTGGAGAGACAGATCGGGTGACTGTGAGAGACAGTTGTAGCAACCCAGACTTAATCCCAGTGCATGGCTGATATGCTGCTGTTTGCCTGTGGTTTCAACAGTACCGGAGTCTGGGACAGGAGCAAAGTCAACAGAGTTTGTCTGGTTTGAATGGTTCCCTCCAGTGTGCCGTGTGCTGGAGTGGTTTGCACCGAGGTGCTTGACTTGCCAGACACAAGACCTTGGGCTTGGAAGCAGTTACTTGGACTTGCAGTTGGTTACTGGGCAGAAACTGGGCCCCAGTGATGTGCCCTTGGCTGGCCGGCAGCGTTTGTGGTTGTGGCTGGAGCGATGGCGTGGGACATGTGGGCAGGACACAGTGAAAGCTCTGTGGAGTGAGGAGGAGGAGGCCAGCAGTTTTTCTACCTGTTTTCTCCTGCAAATCTGAAACGGGGAAATGCTCTGTTCCCCTTCATCTCTCTCTGAGGACACTCCTAGGCAGTAATTTTTCCTCTAAAATGACATTACTTCAGCCCGTGGCATTTCTCCTTGCTTCATCCCTATTTTCCTAGTGGTGGAAAACCCCGTTCTGAGCGCTGGCTGCACATGGGGAGAGCGCTCTGATGATGTACTGATTACAGCCCTGAGGCCTCTCAGGCCCTGTCCTGGCTCACAGCTGATGTGGAGATGGTGTGGCCATGTGTGGACAACCTGGCCTGGGCTCTGCACTGCTGCAGCTTAGCAAGAAAAAGTGCAAACAGCGAGTGGCTTTTAACTCTCCCTCTTGCTGAGACAGTGTTTGCTGGAGTATCTTCCATCAGTGATGTCAGAGATGATGCTGTTGGCAATTATCTGCAGGCATTTCATTAAAAAAAGACCAACTTTCTTCTCTCCTTTTTTTCCAAAAGTCACTGATTCTGTCCGCTCTTGTCTTTTAATAAGTGTGTGGTGGGTAGGGCCAGATTTCTGATAGAGATAATACAGAGCATCATTTTCCCATCCTGAAAAATGTGGAAACGTGGAAACAACTGGAAGGCAACAACTTCTGCCCCTGTGGGAACAGTAGTTACTACAGAAGGAGAAAGGGAAATCTCAGAGGGATATCCTTCCCTATGTAACTGATGCAAAAGGCCCTTGAAATGACTACAATACAAAGAAAAGGGTATTTCAAAGTGGGCTTTGGGTCCTCTTGGCTGTGTTCAGGCACTGTTTCAGCTCCTGATCAGGTGCAAGTGTTGCAGCAGAGAGGCTGTGATGCATGTCTGTGGTGATTTTGTGATTCAGTGAGTGCCTTTGGGATGGCAGTACCTCAGCTTCCTCTTTGAAGTCCCTTGGAAAACAGCTTGTGTGTGCATTTGCCTCAGTGGACAAGCAGAGTAACCAAATTACGCCCTCTAATTCCATCTTGGCCTTCTGGTAAGATCTGTGCATGTGGGTGACGCAAGGGTGGTGTCCATCCCCATGCTGACATAAATGAAATCAGTCCCTGGTGAAGCATCTTCCTCTGGGGTTCAAAAATACAGCCCTCACTTCTGCTGGTTTACATCCCCCTGCTCTGGCTGGTTCTCTTTGTCTTTCCAAGCTCCCACCAGCTCCAGCTGTATCTGGGTGCTGCCCCGGGGCTGTTGGTTGCCCTCTCCCCGACGAGCTCTGCCCCACATCACTGCAGCTCTGGCTGGCAGCTGCCGTGGCCTTGCTGCCATTTTCCACAGTGGCTTTATGAGGTGCTGATGCTCCCTGTGCCGGCATCGGTGTTATTTTTGGCACTTTGCTTCGGGCTGAGATTCTCATCTTTTGGCTTGAAAGTCTAGCTGCTGCCTTTTAACTTGCAAGTGGAGAAGGACAGGATTCAAATCTGAAGGTTCCAGCCACCTGAAGAGCCTTGAAAGACAGCATATTTTATCACTTACATAAATGCCATATTTTCCCACTATATAAAACCTTCTGTTCCTTCTCCTGTCTGCTCATACATTCCTGTGGGGGGTCTGAAACAGGGATTGCCTTGGATTTGCCTGTATGGGGAGTATGAGTTGCCCCATCGGCACCCTGAAGTGGGAGGCTACAGCAGAGGCGAGGTGGTGAGTTTGAGCTGTTGAGCTCCTGTGGCTCCTTGTCCTTCACGCAGACATCTGCTAATGTGTATCACTTTGGTAAGGTGCCTCATACCTTTGCCATTCTGCATTACACCCCTCCGAACACACCAGACTCTGTGCTGGATGGTGAATGTTTTAGAAAGCTAAATGCCTAGAGAGAAGTGTTTTCATCAGCAAACCTGAGACAGGACTCTACCAGTCCCTCCAGGGTGTCTCTGCAGCTCTCTCCAGTGCTGCTGTGGGGCAGGAGGGGATGTTCCAGCTCTGCAAGGAAGGACTGCTAGACTTGGTGACTCGCAGCCAGTGCTGCTCACACTGGTCACTAGCCAGGAGTCATTAAGAAAGTCTCACCTCTTATCTCCTCTAAGCTGCCTTTCTTTTCCAGCAAGCACAGAACTAGAGTTGTCCTGGGAGGGGATGAGTTACAGAAACAATTATTTGCATTAAAGTGAACCGCTGGATCAGCAGAGTGTAAAATCCAACCCAGCCTCTGAGTCCCTGCCTTGGGAGCAGCTGTTCTTTGTCACTCTCCACAGGGTGATGTCCAGAAAAAAGCTTACTTTGCAAAGAGAGCTCCTGAGACTGCACAGATTAGAGGAGGAGTCAAAACTGTTTAAAATGTCTGTAGGCTTTAAAACCAATCATGGTGTATGGATGCGGTGGCATGCAGTGCAGTTGGGGCTGTGCAGTCGGCATGATAATGAACTACACGTGCACACAGGCATAGCAGTGTTTGAGCTTACTAGAAATCTTGGTGTTTCATGGGATTAAAGTACTCGTTGGGAAAACAGGTTGGGATTAAGGAGTAGAAAACTGGTTTGTGCTGGTAAGCAAAAGCAGAGATAGGTCCACCATGCTCATCCTGTGGCTCTGAATGCACAACATAGAATCAGTGTGCTGAGGTTACCACATAGCAGTCCAAGGTGCTTTTAACCACTGGAGTCACAGTTATGTTGGTCTGGAGTAGTTTGATTTCCCCTGGTGAGGGGAAAGGTTTCATGAATGAGAGGGAAATTCTAGTTCATGCAAGGTGTCTGTCTCCTTTTTGGAGCTAAAAATTTTCTTTTGTGAGGGTGGGAGCAGAGAGAGGAGGGGAGGTGATGTGTTCCACTCCAAATCGGTGGCAGAAATCAGTGTTCATTTCTGAAAGGACTCTCACTTCTAATTTCTTTTGTCTATTTAAGCCAGTGAAGAAAAAGAAGATAAAACGCGAGGTTAAGATTCTGGAGAATCTACGTGGTGGCACCAACATCATTAATCTGATTGACACTGTCAAGGATCCAGTGGTAGGTGCCCGTGTGTCGTGTGTGGTGGGATTGCCCTTCCTCTGGCTGCAGGCATGGGACAGGTTTGGATGGGCTCCTGTTCCTTTCCATGTTCCCCAGACTCTTTAAGGCCCCTTTTCTGTCTTCTGTGAGTTCTCATGGCTGATGGGGGGAAATCTTTTGAAGCTTTTGTCTGGCATCTGGAGCCTAAGTACCAGCCAGGGCAACTGGAAGTGAAGCACTTTGATCCTTCTGGTTGCTGTCCTACCCAGTGACCAGCAATCATGTCATTGGTCTGCACTGCCACAATTGACCCATTCCCGGGAAGTTTTCTCTGACGAGCAGCTGGCTGAGGTCTGTGACTCCCATCCTGCTGGCAGCCATGAGAGGAAGTGATGCTGCTCTAGCATTGGCAGTCCTGGCTGACCTTCCTCCTGCAAGGAAGGCTGTGAGGGCTTAGCTCCTGGTGACACATTCTGCCTTGCCTAGTGCTGTCCCTGCCCCTTGGCGTGGGGAGGAGCAGCACTGGCCACAATGCCGAGGTGGTGCTTGGCGTGTGGGGTATAAGCAGAGCTGCCTCCACCTTTTACAGGAACAGGGCTGTGCTGCTCTCCCTGTCTTGCTGCTGCCCTGCTCTCCCTAGTGAGGGTTGGGCAGGAAGCAAAGGCTTTTTAAGGTCTCTTGGAGCAAAGAAAGGTCGAGTGGGTGTTTTAAACCATGACTCTCTTTCCCTTGCAGTCAAAGACCCCTGCTCTGGTGTTTGAGTACATCAATAACACAGATTTTAAGGTGAGTTTGCTTGAGTGTGGAGGAGGGAGGCTTCCCATTTCTGTTAAGAGTGCTGTGATTGCCAGATAACCCTCAAGAGCTGTGGGGGGAGTTTGGAGTTTTCACCTATGTCAGCTTCACTTTGTTTTCTCCATGTAAATCAGAAACCTGTTACTGGGCTCTAGATTGAAAGGAATAAAAAGTTTGTGTGCTGCATCTTCTCCCAGCTCTGAGGAGTAAGTTCAACAGGTTAGATATTCTTACTCCCCTCTCAATTTAGTAATCACTGCTGTGCTGTATATTCAGCCCAAGTTAATCCCTGTACTGTGGTGCTCTGCTTACAGCAGTGCAGTTGATGGAGCAGGTGACACCAATTTTTTTCTGGAATCCTTCAGACCTGGGGACTTTGGGGTGGCAGAGAATGGAAAACACGTTCCCACTGCCAGTGGGCCTCGTAGCAGGGTACTGAGCATTCTTGAATACATCTTAAGAGCTCTTTTGCTTGCCTGAGGCTGCAGGATATTCCCTGGCTCTTCTGATTTCTGGGGAGCTCCAAGGGGTATTACCCATTCCCAAAAGGAGGGTCCTCTGAGTGCAGCTACATCCACTTCTGCTACTCAGATGTTTCTGGCTGGGAGCAACAGACTGAGAGACAAAAGGGATCTGTAATTAGCAGCCACACCTATTTTAATGGCATCTTTGCTTCCCCCATGTGAGTCTTTACCCTAAGTCACTAAGTCAGTGGTGGAGAATTAATGGAGCCACTAGAAAGCCAGCAGTCATCCCTCCTGCACTGTTCAGGGATCTCTTTCATTCCGTGTTATGGGATGGTGGGTTTTCTTCCTGTCTGTGCTGGAGCATGATGTAGGTACAGGCCTTAAAGGAAGCAGATGCACCAAAGACCCAGAGAAGAACTCTGGGCTGGTGTTGGTGGAAAGGAGGAGCTGCCTCCCAGACCATCTGTGTGCAGGGCAAGACACGTTGTTTCTGTCCCTCTGGGGTGGGTCTGGCGAGCTGGATGCTGCCAGATGGGATGTGTGTGCATAGTCAGAGTTGCAGCCATGCTGCAGTGGGGTCTAAGTGCTGTTTAATCTCATGTAGAGAGTTACTGCAGGAGCCAGAATAATAGTAACTTGCAGCAGCATCTGCCCTGACAGCTCTGGGCGGGGAGATGAGCGTTGCCTCCATCAAGTAAACAGCCATGAGAGGAGTGCTGTGTGGTGACCTTTCAGGGCTAATTAAAGCAGGTTTGGTTTGCCTGAGCTTCGTTGACATCAGCTGGGCTGTTCAGTGCTGCATGTGTGTTGGGAATGTACCCTTATGCTTCTCCTGGTGACCCACAGCCTCTTTGTAAGGCTGATCCTGGAAGTTTTTAATTTTCTATTTAGAGATTTTTTTTTAATCAATCAATTAATTAATTAATTTTTATTTTTAATCTGTGGCTTGAGATAAAATAGGTTGCTTGCACCTTGCTAAGGATTGCTTTATGTTTCTCCTGTCAAAATGTGATTATACCACTCTGTTGTGTCCTTAGAGGAAAAAATTGTCATCCAAGATATCACCCAGTAACTGAAATATGTTCATGAAGTTGAGTATTAAGCAGCATCTCGAGGCTGGTGGCCAACAGGGACTCTTAACTGAAAAATGAAGGGCTCAGAGTCCATGATCCATCAGCCATCCCAGCCACATGGAGAGTTGGAGCAGGCACTGCTGGAGCCAGTAAGGAGCAGTGGGCTGGCCACAGCAGAAGTAACAATGCTCATCTCTGGCTGTTGCATTAGAAACAACTGTATGAGTTTGCAGCAGACCTCTTCTAGGCTCCTGGGAGAAAGCCTGGCTCCTCAGGGAACTCCAAATTCACAGCTGGGCAAGTCTAAGACAGAAAGTTTCTGATGCTGATTGGTACAAGGCAGGAATAACTCGTCTTGGGAACGCAAGTGTGTCCCCAGGGCATGCGGTATGGCTGCTCCTGTTCAGAGCTTATTTGTAACCTGAATTTCCCCAGCTGTGTCTGGGGTGTGTGGGTTGGTTGAGCTACACTCCCATGAGCTCTCTGCCTGTTTGCGGAGGTTCTTGGGGCTGCAGCTCACTGGCAGATTATAGAGCTGCTGCTACTTAAGGGTGCCTGTGGGTGCCTTCTTCTGATGTCAACAGATGCTCCCAAGCTGTCTCTTCCCTTGCTCTGAAATGCCAAGCAGAAAATGCACAAAGTAGATGAGACCACCTGTGTTGGAGGTCTCTGCTTGCCCTGTACCTCTACACATGAAGCAGCTGGAAAGCACCCCGTCATCGTCCTCTCTACTCCACAGTCCTGATCCCCCAGGGCAGCCAAATTCTGCTGGAGTTAAATGCCACAGTGAGCTAATCCAGGTGACAAGGGCCTCTTCTCTTTGTTTTAATCTGCCTATCTCTGCGTCCACGTCTGGGTTCAGCAGCACTGTTGAGAACCAGCATCTCGCTGGCAAATCACCTTCAGGATGTGTGAGGGGGTTCCCAGGGCAGCTCGTGTGCAGCAGGGGGTTGATGACCACTTCACAGGATTGCTTTTTTCTCTGTCCTTTTGGCAGTAGTTGCTCACAAGCTTGGATGTCTGCTCAGTTGTCTCCTCTCTGGCTGTTTCTTTCCTTCAGCATTATTATTTTTTGCTTAATGTTAATGCTTTTGCCCATTGTTAACCCTTTGCCCATTCAAATGGCAGAATGCTGCTCAGGTCAGTGCACCCATGAAAATGGCTACTGGGTTTCCTTAGCTGTCTGTGCACAGGGAGAAACTGCAGTTCTGTGGGGCCTAAGCCATGGTTGTGAACAATTCCAGATCAGAAGCACAGGCTTATATTCCACACGGTTTGGCTATTTTTAAATGATGGTATAAACAGGAGACTTAGGTGATACCTCCCCAGAGCTGATTACATTTTCTTAAATTACCTGTCTGGGTCCCTGCTGGAAGGGATGGCACTGTACTTGCAGGAGGATGAGTTGGAACCAGACTAAATGCGTGTTCTGCAGCTTGTGTTACAGGGCTAGTGTTTCCCTTTAGACCTGCTGCATTACTTGTCATCTCTGAGCACTCAAACTCCCCACAGTCGTCTGCCTTCAATGAAAGCTGCACTGCAGAGCCACGTGGTCAACTGGGGGATCATCAGTGAAATTAAATGTCTTTTGCTAATTGGTTTCAAACTAGAGATGAGACGCCTGTAATTCAGCCACTGTCAGCTGTCACATATTTTGTGAACGTACGTGGTACTGTGCTTTTCATTGCCCCAAAAAGGCAAATCCCTCAGGAAAGCAGGAGGCGGAGCCAGCTCTCGAGGAGCAGTTATGCTTTGGGTTTGCTATTTCATTCTTAAAACACATTAGCAGGTTTGCAGCTCAAGAAGAGGAGATGGGCAAGAAAGGTGAACAAAGGAAGGTTGCTTCAGGATGCTCAGCCTGTTGGAGTTGTGGGTTCAGTGGGCTTTTGAGTCAAGTCTTCCACTTCACCTGCACTTTGGTGAATTTTCAGGCCAAATTGCTGTAAGGGAAAATGTGTGTGTGTGTTTTATCCTTGTGCATCCAAAGTTTGTTTGAAAAATGATTGTTGCCCTGCATAAGCGATGCAGAATTATAAAAGATGCAGAGTTATAAAAGATTCCCCTCCCTTGCGTGGCTGCCAAGGCCAGAATGCTTTGGGAACTGTTTCCTTTTCTTTTCCTGCTGCCTGCTCTGCACCCCAAAGCAGTGTCTCTCCTCACAGCCACCCTGTTGCTTTGCAGATGCTGCTTCCTGCACGTAGCCAGCTGTGCTGCTCACTCAAGGGAGAGGAATAAGCATTTAGCTCCTGTCAGCCCCATGGCAGGGGAAGCGTGTCTCTGTCTCCTCAGGCACTAACAGGATTAGTTTATGATTGGTTATGTGATGTGTGGCAAAATATCACCAAAAGCTGGAGAGGGGTAGGGGCTGCCTGTGGGTGGGTTTGGCCTTTCCTTGTGCTCTGTATGGAGAAAGGAGACCGGCCCAGGTCTCTGAGGCCTCCTGGCATCCAGAGTGCTGGCAGCTAGCTGAGCAGATTTGGGCTGGGTCTGAGTGATCCCCACAGTGATGTTTCTGGTAGTTCTACTCCAAAGGGACAGAGCAGAGCATGGGGCACTGGGGGGACTGGGTTTCACAGGTTTTCTGGGTTTCTTCCAGGGAAATCTCTTGGAAGCTGTTTGCCCAACAGTGTATGGGCATATCATGGTCCAACGCTGAAGGCCACGAGTTAGAGAAGTGACAGCATTGCGGGTCTGTGAAGAAAGACTTTAGTGACCCTCCCTCCTTATAGGCAGTAAGAGGCAGAGGAGCCAGGGAATTGGGGAAATGAGGTCTAGCCTTGTTCTGCCACTGCCTCTCCTGCCCTCCTCCTTCCCTAGGTGCATGATGTTGCCAGATGAAGTTGAACAGGGTAGTGAATGCCAGAAAGACATGTTTTACACACATTTCTCATAGTGTTTATTACTTAGCAAGCTATTTAAACAGACTTCTGGAAGGACTCAGCTGTCCTCTGCTGGCCCTGCATCCTGCATCAGAGTCAGGAAATCTATCCCTGCTGTAGCTCTATAGCTTGTGGCTATGACTTTTTTGCTCCCTGCTCACTTGTCTGCTTCAGTGGGTTGCTCCAAAGCGTTAGGATCATCCCAGCTCACGAGAATTCAATGCAGTGTTGTCCTGGAGGCTGTTAAAGCTCTGTGTGTGTAAGTGACACTTGTATGTTGTCAAATGATTTCCAAGAGCAGTATCGGGGGGTGGGGGGTGTCTGTTTGGAGATGGCCCTGAGTAAGGCAGGAACCTGAGGATCTCAACATGGGCCTGGAGGGGATCCAGGGCTAGAGCTGCTCTCTTGGAATGTGAATTTCAATCCCTTGCTCTGGGATTTTTCCTGAAGCTGCCAAGTGGTGCCCATGATGGGCAGCTGGCTCCAGTGCTGATGCAATCGGTGATCTGTCTGAGCTGTGAGATGATCCTTGTTTGTAAGAAAGGGCAGAAAGGTCTGGTCCCACTGCTGCCCTATTGAGTGTCCTTCCTTGCCTTGCCCTGGCATCTTGCCTTGCTTTCCCTGGATGAGAGCACAGCCCAACGGGGTTGGGCTGACACCGCTGCCAGTGACAGATATGGAGCAGAAGGCAGATTTGGGGCCAGCTGTGAGCTGGCATGGGAGCAGCAGGATGATGAGTTCTCCAATGCTGGTGCTGGTGGCACAGTGCAGGTTAAAGTGCACCCTGGATCTCTGTCACTTCTGCATGAGTAGCTGCAAAAGGACACTCAGGAGAGGAGGGTGGTGAACACATGCTGGTAACAAGCACTTCCCTGTGACTCTGAGCTGTGCTCTCCTTGGCCCCACAAGCATTTCTGTGCTCTTGAGTTGCATTAGTCTTTATCCTGGGATAGAGGGGAGCCTCTGTGGCTCTAAGGCTGTCTTCTCCCCTTTGTATTTCCCCACCCTGTGCTCCTTTAGGTTAAAGTTTTTGTTTCCCTGCCACACCCTGAGCACCTGGACACCTTGCTCATGTGTTCCCAACCCGCTCTGAATGCTGTCATCAATGTTGACATGCAAAGTCATCACAGTGATTTGACAACAGAGAGTCACAATCATCTGTGCCAACTCCAGTGTGCTCTGAAGGGCTTTTGCCCTGTTCTCCTTGAACAGCCTGCCCATCTCCTGCTGGAAAGAAGCTGAGTCTGAATGATCCCAGTAGCATTTCACAGGAGCTCTTGCATACTTTTGGGATTCCCTAGTGTGTAGCCCTGGCAGGTCTGAGGCCAGGACAGCCCTCGGGAACGGTGGCATTCACGGGAAATCTGGAATGGGGTCAATGACTGGAGAAAAGTGGGGTGCAGGAAACGAAACTGATCCAAATCTGGAGTATTTATTTTTGTCTCTTTTGTTTTTCTTCCTCCCTCCCCAAATCTGTTTCAGCAACTGTACCAGATCCTGACAGACTTTGATATTCGGTTTTATATGTATGAGCTGCTGAAGGTGAGTGGCATTGCATATGGCAGTCTGGATGGGGAGACCAGAAATGAAAGCAGCGGTAGCAGGGCTCGTGGGGCAGTGCTACTGAGTGGTTACTTCTCCTGTGTTCAGTGCAGAATCCATGTCTCATAACCTGGGAAGGCTTGGGAAGAGATCTGGTTACCTGGCTTGTTGCTGTGAGGTATTGCAGCCAAACTGGGGACCTTAGGTCACCTCCAAAGAGCCTCTGATTCTCTGGGGTCTGTCCTTTCCTCAGGAAGCATTTGTGACTGGTAGTCAGTCACCAGGTAGGGCTGTGCTTGGTCTTCCTGTGTCTCCAGCACCATTGAGCTGCTGTGAGGAAAATCAACTCCCTCCAGCCAGACCCAGGACAAGCACTGAGAGGCATTTGCAGGGCTGGAGAGCTGGGTTTCCAGGGAGACTGGAAGAGAAGGATTACCAGTTGCAGGCTTTGTTCTGCTGCACTGTTCAAATGCAGACCCAGAAGGTGACTTCTGCCCACTTGATCTTAGACTCCTGTTTCTTTGGGTGGGGGATCTAGGGCACATCAAGAATAAGCTGGCCAGCTCAGTGCCCTGTGGTCACAGAACCCTGGGAATGTGGTCGTGGGGAACAAAGCTTCTGGTTATGCCAGCTGTTATATGTTGATATAACACTGGTGTTTTCCTTTGAGACCTCCCAGCCAAAGCTTTCCCTGCCCTTCTGATGAAAGCTGAGGAGTATCCTAAATACCTCCTCTTAACTAGCCTAGCTTGCACTTCCCCGTGGAAATGCTCAGGGAGCCACATGGCAGGTCTGTGAGATGTGCTGCCCCTTCTCAGGGGTCTCCAGCTGCAGGATGTGGGAGGTAGCAGGGCATTAGGGAGAGCTTCCAGATTCAACCCATCCAAGGCAGTTCTGTGCTGACCTGCTGGAGCAGCAGCTTGACTGTGTCAGGTCTTAGCAGGGCCCTGGGATTTCTGGGCTGGCACTTTCCAATTCTCCAGCCTCTGGAAATGAGTGGAACAGGTGAGGGAAAGCCCTTTGTGCTCCAGGACTTGGTGACTGCAGGAGACTTCCTGAAAGAGATCTAGCAGGCCTGAGGGAGGCTTTCTTCTCTGCACCCCCAAGCTTGTTCATCTGTCTGCAAGGGAAGGACCTTCCTACTGGAGGTTGGAGGGAGCCTAAGGCAACCCGGGATTAGAGTGGGAGGAATGATGAAGTTTAGATGATCCAGCCTTGGCGACACAAGACACTAGAACAGCTTCATCCCTGGAAGCACTTTGTGTAACCTGTTACAGATCTCCTCTGCTGGAGATCCCAGGACCACAGTGCTGTGAGTCCTGTAGGTTGTGAGGCCACATGTCATTGCAGGGATATTCTCTCAGGCCTTGCTGTGATGGAAGCTGTTGCCTCCTTGCTTCCTGCTGTGGCAGGGGCCCAAGGACAGCGTTGCTTCCCTGGCACTGGTGTCTTGCATATTGAATGACTGCAGGCTGTACCCTCTTTCCACGCTGCTGGAGATTTCATAGCATCTGATAGATGTTGATGGATGGATCTCCCTCCCCTTGGAGATGAGAAAACAACATTCTCACCCCCCTGCTCAAGGGAACAGCTGCGTTGGGGGGGGCAAGTGGTGCAAGGTCATGGAGCTGGAGAGCTTATGTGTGCTCCTGCCTTCAAGCTTGAAGCAGCTTTGCTCTCCCTCGTGTGCTATCACTTTTTTAACTGCAGGTTTGGCTTAAATCAGCAGGATAGAGGTGACTTTCTGGCTTAAGTGTGTTTCGGGGCACAGGTGAAAAGCTGCACTGGAAGGCCATAAAAACGTATGCGTGTAAGAATTATCCCCTTCTGGGGAAGAGAGCATGACCTAGGAAGCACAGGGCTACCCAGGCTGGAGCATTGGGCTTGTCACCGGGTGGGACACGTCTCTGGATCGTGTTCTTCAATGATTGTGCAGGGAACACAGTTCCAAGACTGTGACTGCAGTCAAGATCCATAAAGGCTTGTTGCCAGGTTGCCACTTCATCCACGTGCAGCATAAGAGCTGAAAATGCCAGTTTCTTGTGCCAGGGTTACAGCACTTCCTCATGAGCTCTTGCTCCTGGCTGAGAACTGTCTATTATATTGCTAACGCTGTGCCTGTGGTTACAGCCATGTCTAATGTGTGTGTGTGTCTGCCAGGCCCTGGATTACTGTCACAGCATGGGAATCATGCACAGGGATGTCAAACCCCACAACGTCATGATAGACCACCAACAGAAAAAGGTACTGTGACACCAGGGCTTATAAGCAAGGTTTTTCTAGGAAAACTTGAAACTCTGCTGCCTCTGTACCCATAGCCTGGGCAGCTGCACAGACCCCTTTAACCTTTCTTTAGTGGCTCCCCTCCACCTGTGACAGCATCAGGAGATGGCCAAAGTCCCACTGGGGAGCACCACAGTGGGAGTCCATGGCTTCCTCACTGCTGGGATGTGCTAGTTAGGTCACAGGAAATGCTTGTACCCAGCTCACTACCGTGGAAATGGGCAGCACAGGGACTTCCCCCATTCTGGTACTGATACCCCATTGGGTGCTGTGTGTACCTGCCCCAGGGACCTGGATCTGTAGCAGGGAACTAGTTGCTGTTCCACAGGTCTTTTCTGCCAGTCAGCAGAGGCTGAACAGGCAAGGCAAGGATTATAAGGAAGGGAATCTCTTACTGGACCCACTGTCCTTCAGTAACATGGCAGGTCATCCATCCCTGGGGCTGCAGAGGAGATGGTCTGCCTTTCAGGATGTGGTGAACCCCCCTCCTACCCTGTTTTTTGCTCTCAACCCCCGGGTAAAATCAACACTGCCTTCAGCCCAGCCTCTCTAAACAGTGGGATAAGACTTTTATCTGTTGCCTAGTATGCAACGACCTGTCTGCTGTGGCTGGTGGTGCTGGTCAGGAGCCAGCTGCCCAGCAGTAACAGTGTGCTCGGACTCAAGGAGGCAGAGCAGCTCTCTAAGCTGGGCTTTGCCCCACAAGCTGGTGTTAGGGGAAAGAGCCTGAACAGAGCACTGCTGAGAGCATTCCCTGTCATCAGAGGGCCTCCCTCCACCCCAGGCTCTACACTTGCTCAAGGGATTGAGAGGTTTGGCCAGCATGGCCTCACATAAGTGCCTCCTGACTCTGTGTGTCTTTACTGTGTGTCCAGCTGCGGCTCATAGACTGGGGTCTGGCCGAATTCTACCATCCAGCTCAGGAATACAATGTCCGTGTGGCCTCCAGGTACTTCAAAGGACCAGAGCTCCTTGTGGACTACCAAGTAAGAGTCTGTCTCCTCCTTGCTACCCAGTGGTGTCACTTGTGGCTGCACTTTAGCCACCTTTGGGTTGTCTGGTTTTGCCTGTCAGGGCATTGCCTGGGTTGGAGAGAGGCTGGCTGTGAAGTGCAAAGGCTGAGGCTGCCTGTGCAGCTGGGGAACCGGGCTGTGGTGAGTGTGCCTTTTCTGACAGCTTCTCCTTTTTCCCTCAGATGTATGACTACAGCTTAGACATGTGGAGTTTAGGCTGTATGCTGGCAAGCATGATCTTCCGAAAGGAGCCCTTCTTCCACGGCCAGGACAATTATGACCAAGTAAAGACATTGCTACCTGGCTTATTGCGCGAAAAGTTTGTCCCCAGCTCATCTCTGTGTGTGTGGTGGGGAGGTTCTGAGGGTCAGATCACCATGCTGGGAGGATGTTGTTGCATGTTGGTTAAGCCATCTGGGATTTTGCTTCTCTGCCTTGTGTAGGAATTTTTTTTCTGCACGCGTTGCAAAAACAAGTTTCAAGGGAGATATTCCTTCCATCTGGGATGTTTCCAGAAGGACTGCTCTTAGATCTGGGCGGCTCTGCCTCTGCAAAAGAGTGGTGGGCTGCCCTTCTGCTTTCTGAATATGCCTTTTGTTCCAGCTGGTTCGCATCGCGAAGGTCCTGGGCACAGATGAGCTCTATGGGTATCTCAAGAAGTACCACATAGAACTGGACCCACACTTCAATGACATCCTGGGCCAGTAAGTGGAGAAGTGAAATGCTGCCCTTTTTCCTTGTGACACAGAGAGGGAGATAAACTGATGTCTGTGCCCTGGAAGCACTCTCAGCAAAGGCCTGCTCGATCTTCTGGGTCACAGTGCTGCTTGCATCATGTCATCACTGAAATGCAGGCTCTTTCCTTTTGCCTCTCCCATGATCCATCCCCTGTTTCTTCTCCCTCCTGCTCATTCACATCCTCAAAGTGGAGGTGTAGACACTGGAGTTGAGCATGGGCTGAGTTGTTCAGAGTCTCCCAGCTGAGATTCCTGAAAAGGACAAGAGGTGGATGGAATAGTGAGGACAACTTCTGTGAGGCTGGCTGGCAAGTCAGAGAAATTCTGGTCCCGAGGATGTCACCCTGCCTGCTGCCACATGCCATTGTCTAGTCCCTGTAGACAGAAAGGATCATGCCTTTTCTAGGCACAGGACATCCATACAATTGTGTAGGTATAGAAGAGGGTTTCCCCCTTTTGGCAGGTGTTTGCTGAGCAGTCGCCTGTGCAAGGAAAAGCTGTAGGCAGCGTTCATCACAGCCTCTCTTCTCAGAGGAGGATTGTGGCAGGTGATTCCCCCGGGACCTCTGGGTACTGCTGTGCTGGTGACAGCTGGTCCCTTTGCAGGCATTCCCGGAAGCGCTGGGAGAACTTCATCCACAGCGAGAACAGACACCTGGTCAGTCCTGAAGTCCTCGACCTCCTGGACAAGCTCCTGCGATATGACCATCAACAGAGGCTGACTGCCAAGGAGGCCATGGAGCACCCCTATTTTTGTGAGTCTGTGGAGTAGCTGGGGCCTGCTGGGATGGAGCTGTGGGTTATGGAGGTGAATTTTGGCTCCCTGCTCCACAGAAGCCTTAGCAGCTCTGTGAGTTTCCAGGGCAGCTTCTCTGGAAGGATTTGCCCGGGTGGAGCTTCCGCTTTTATTAAATACTGTTTCCTCTTCCTGCCTGCTCTGTCTCCTGCAGATCCAGTGGTGAAGGAGCAGTCCCAGCCCAGCTCAGAAAACGCTGTGCTCTCCAGTGGCATGACAACAGCACGATGAGGACTGGAAAACGACGGGTAATTCAAGATGTTTACAAATAAAAGCAAAACCTTCGGTCACACAGTGAAGGGAAAAGAACCAAGGACCCCCCCCCTTCTTCCCCTCCCCTTTATACTCGACAGAAATCTAACCTTGGGGGGGGTCATAAACCTCAGTTCCTCTCTGGTGGTTGTGGTTAATGTAACTCTAACCCTGTGGTACCAAAGCCCTGGGCAAATGGTCTTGCAAGAGCTAAACATGTAGTGATATCCCCAGGGCTCCACACAACTGATTCTGGTTCACATCTCTATGGATCCTTCTCTTCCTTCTCAGTCCAGCCTTCCCCACCACGCTGGTGGGGACAAATTGGTCGTTCTACCATCAGCCCTTAGCATGCCTCTTTCTAAACTTGCCTTTCTGACTTGTAGTCTCTGAATGAACCAAATTCAGGCTGGGGGTCAGCAGGTGCAACTCTGTTTTGAGGTCTAAGTCCTTACTGCTCACTCTGGGCTTGAATTTGGCCCTTGAATTCCAGTTTCAATTGTGAATGCCGGGGTGGTTGGGGGGAGGGCGGGGGGGAGTTTGACAAAAAACAACCCACAAACCCAGCAGCATCTCAGGATTAGTTTGGAGCATTTAAACGAAGGCACTGATCCGAGTTGCTGGGGAGAGGAGATCCCCCCCTCCAGTGTGTTTGACAAAGGCTCACTCTGAGAAGAAACTCAATAGACCTGCTTTGGAAACTTGTGAATGTGAGGGCTGCTCTTGTGGCAGGAGAGGGGAGGGACTATCCAGACTTTCCCACCAAGCTCAGGAAAGTCAGTGTTGCAAGATTTCTTGTGATAGGTGTGCAACCACGTACCTCATGACGTGGCTCCCATGAGAATTTGTGCCAGACGCAGACTTGTGCCAGAGCACAGCTCTGGGGCGGTTCAATCCAGCACCGCAGGATGGAGGAGTGGAGAGGAGGCCAGGGAGGAGAGCACAGGGAGGGGGGAGGATCAACAAACAGCGTCGGGGCGGGGGCTGTGCAGCTACTGATCCAGGACTTGGGATCCCACACAGTGTTTTAACAAAGTCAGCCATTTGTTGAATTCTGGGGTGCCGATCCTGTTGGGGGGTGGGGGGTTCGTCTTGTGGGTTCTTTCATCAGATCCCTCGATGGCTTTATAGCCCCACAATTCACAGTTGCCTCCTCTACTTGTTCTGTGTGTAACTTCATCAAGTGGTTCTGGTGACACTCAAACCTAGACGCTGGAGATAGTGTTTTCCCACCAGCACCTAAACACAGAATTTCCTTCTGCGGCATTGTTGAAATAGTTAATTTTTTTATAAGGTTGCAATGTTTCTATTTGAAACATCTGTTTACATTCCATATTCCAATAAAGTTCTATTGGCATCGACAGCAGGTCAATCCATTTGTATAATTCACTGAAACCAATAAATATCTATACGTCTGAACGTCTGCCGTCTCAAATCTATGTGATAGCCAGAGGGCCTGAGAGCTGAAGGCCTTGTCTCCTCCAGGAGGGCAGGTTGGCTCTTCCAGCCCCTCTTGTCTGAGTTTTTTGGGATGTCTCACTCAGTCTTTGGTTGCAGTTCTTCATGCTGTCAGCCCTGAGAGTTTCACTGTGGCAGATTGTCTGCGCTGCCACGGGGCCACAGAGGAGGTGTGAGATTTTGGGAGTCGGCTCTTGAGGTACATTGGACTCAAACAGCCGGTGCCTGAGGGACCATCCTCGGGCTGTCTGTTACCTGGCAGATCAGACCACGTCACCGATGCGTGGCTGGAAGCTGGGGGGTCTCCACGTGTGTACCCCCTGCTCGTCTGCTCTCAGCCTGGGTGGATGGCTTTTTCTAAAGATGTGCTGAGCAGGGAGTAGTTCTTCTTTCCTCCCACCCTGGGAGGTGAGTGGTGCACGAGAGCAGTTATGTGTGTCCAGGCTGAGGAGCAGCCTGTGATGTGCTGCTGTGCCACATGGCCTTGCTGACATTTGCTCTCCTGCTGAGGCCGCTGAAGGTGTTGGCAAGTGTTCCCAGCCCTCTCTTCCATATGCCCAACCTCTGGACTGCCTGGCCTGAGGGGCAGGAGGGTCTCTTGTGCTCTTAAGCTGTGCTACTACCAGCAGGGCTGATTTGGGGTTTTAACATCGAGTTTTGGACCAATTTTTAAACATGTATTGAATTGCTCCATGGAGAAGTGGCAGGAGTGGATGTTTCTCATGGCCTGTCCGAGTTGCTATGGGAGAAGCTTGTCCGTTTTCCAGCTCTTGTGTGTTGGCATTCCCAGCTTCTGGAGGGACAAGGCAGAAGAGGTGTGGAGAAGAATGGGTTGAGTGTGGGAATTTTAATAGGTGGAAAATGTTGGTCGCTGTATATGAGTGCTTGATAGTGTCCAAACCTGATTGTGGAATTTCAAGGTGGTGCTTTGGGAAGTATTGTTTCTGTAAACTTGAGTCAGAAATTCTTTCCTGGTACCCTCAAGCAGAGGAAGTGAGTTGTTCTTCCAGCAAATTAAATGGTTTTCCCTGGTTGCAGTAAGCAGAGAGGCTGGAACAACCTGCCCCTTATCTCCCCACATCCCTACCCCAGCTCTAGAGTAGGATGAGCAGAGACAGATTGATCCCGGAGGAAAACAGCAGCTGAGCAAGAGTAGCCTGGGAGCAAGAGGGTGTGGATCCCAGGGATCTGATCCTAGGGCAGTGTGGGTGCTTCACTGCAGCTCGTATCAGTTTGTCTCTGCAGCCAGTGGCCCTCCCAGCACTCGGAACAGAAAACCCTTCTCTGGACCTTAGCAAAGTGTCCTCCTGCTTGTAGGGACAGCTGGGAACTGGGGAAGAGTGTCTTGTCCTGAGGAAGTAAGAGGACTGAGAGACATGCATCTTCATTCCTGGCCTTTCAGGTGGCCTGGCCCCAGCTTTCTAGCAGAGGTAGAGCGTGGGTTTGGCTGAATGCCTTGTAAGAGGAGAGGCTCCAAACCAGAGCCCTGGCAGGCACTGAGGGATGCATAGGAGATGGATGCAGTAAGCAACTTCGCCACCTTGCCCATGCCTGTTTCTAGTGTGCTGTGTCATGATGGGAGTCTTGAATGGGTCTAGAGAAGGTATTTGCAGCAGCAGAGGGAAACTTAACACAGGAGGCTGGGGAGAAAAAAGTCCAAACTTGTGTCTGGCTGTCCATGAAAGTTCTGCTTTGCTGGACTACGTCTCCCCATTACCTTCCTCGGTCCTGCCTTCCCCTCTTGCCCCTTCCAAAGCCAGGCTTAGGTTCCCCTGCTGCCCCCACATCCAGAGGGCCACGGAGAGTACCCCGGAGGGTGGCAGGGCGTGGGGCAGCGTGCCCAGCCATCTCCTCGTCGCCTGGTGCTGGAGCTCTGCACTGAGCTGGCAGTGCCCCGTGACGCTCACTTCCCTCCTCCCGTCTCTCCTCAGGTCCGATGCTGTTGCTCCCAATTTTCCATAAGCAGAATGAGAACCAAATCAAACGTCCCATCGGCGCGTGTAGAGCGACGGCGGGCGGACTGCGCGGCGCGGGCAGGGCTCGGAGCGGGCGGCGCGCCTGGGCCGGACGGCACTCGCCCCGCGGTGACCTCAGCCCTTCCCTCCAGGCCTTAAAGGTTCTCCTGCCTCTGGTTCCTTGTTGAGCTCTTCCTGACCCAGAAAGCATGGAAATGTGAAGGGTGTGCAAAGCAGTTGTTGGTTAGTTGTTCCTTCCTCTGTTCTGGCTGTTGCCCCCCCCAGCCCCTGATGGACCACGGTTAGCCAGCTTGTGCCCGTCTCTGCCAGGACACGGGGGCTGCAGGGGGTGTAGTATCATGATGGACAGTTCTATACTATAATTAAAAGAATTCTATATTGTTGAATAAAAGTTTTGAAAGAAGCGTGCAAGGAGGAGTATTCAGTGGGGAGGGAGCTGCAGAGTGCTGGCAGTGTGAGCTGTTTGCTGTGCCCTGCTGGGACAGGCTGGGCGAGGAGAGCAGGAGGAACTTGTTGTACAAAATCACCGTGAGCAGAGGCAGAGGAGCCACTTGCCACCTTTGGGGGTGTTCCTCCTTTGGAGATGTCTCTCCTTAGGCCCTACACTCTTATGGAGGTGCCTGCCTGGGTGGTGGTCTGAGTGCTAATGTTGATACCTGCTTTTCCTGTCCCGGGAGGGCTTGAGCATGGCTCTGTCTCTGTACCACTGGAGCTCCCATCTCTTCCTCTTTCTTGGTCTGAGGCCCTCCTCCTTCCCAACACCATCACTGCAAAGCCCTGAGCTTGGAGCTCCTGCCCGTGGGCCTCTGCATTGCAGGAGTTCCCCTCAGATGTGGTGCTTCACAGGCAGCTCTTGGGAGAGTCTGGCTGCAGTGCTGGTGGCTTGGCTAGGCTGGGCTCTGGTCTTAGATGTTAATGGACTGCTTGAAACTCTGGTCTAAAAGCCTCCAGCTGGAATCTGCGTGACTGTACACGGTCATTTCTCTTCTGTTGTCCCATTCCTTCACTGCTCATATGTTTTTCCCTACACAGTTTTTCCTATACTGAAGCTGCCCAGGCTAAGGGTACCTCTGAGGCAAGGCTTTTGCCTGGGAAGAGAGACCTGTTGCTGGTTCCCAGGGAGGGGAGTTCAGGTAAGGTGAGTCATGGGCTCCTGCCAGCACAGAACCACATGGAGCTGCTCTCACCCAGCCCTGGGCACTGGCCAAAGTGGAAACCCAGGAGTGAGTCCTTGCACAAAGCCTGTGAGGGGTACAGGTGGAAATCTGTCCTGGTGTGTCACACCTGGAGATGTGCAAATGTGGGGCCAGATGTGGACATGGGCATCAGGTAAGTTCAACCTATTGATGCTGTAAGGCAGAGCTTGGTTCATTGCCAAGGCACGGTGTAATGACAGCCCTGTTGTATCGAGGACTCTGCTGATCTCTGGTAAAGAAAGTCATCAAGACTTTCTTTGGCTGGTGTAGATCTGGCCAGTGGTGAGAGCCTGTCCCTGCAGGGAAGAGCCCTTGCCAGAGTCCACCTGAGGTTCACGGGCACTGGGCAGCAGTGCTGGGAGCTTGTGCTGAACTGAGATCCCTGCAGCATGGTGGCACATCCAAGCACTGTTGCTGCTTCATCCATCCATCCATCTCCTGACACTGTTGGATCATGTTCCCCATTCCCACCTGCTGCCTGCTGCAGCCCATGTGCTCTCCAAGTCATCAGCTTGTGTCCAAAAGATGCTCCCAGTGACCCTTTTAACTGTGCTTTGTTAGAAATAAATTCTTTGCCTACCTGTTTTTGTCTCCACTTTGTCTGACATCAGAAAGGTTTTCCTCATTTTCACCCCTTGCTCCATTTGTTGCATGGGCGTCCCACCAAGGCAATGTGGTCTCCTTCCCTGATTTTCTCTCCCAAATTGCTCCAGCACATATTGGCACTGCCTTCTTCTGCACCCACTGATGGTTACACCCTTGTTCTCTTCTGATCCCTTGCTCAGCAGCAGCTCAGCTTCCTCCTGTACTGCTCAGAGTTCAGCCAGTATGAGATGCACAGCGTTTCTCTGGGTTCCTTCAGCACCCAAAGTCACTTTTGGGCCTTGCCTCCCCTTGCATGTGGTGGCTTTGGATCTCCTGCCTGATCTTCTTTTTAGTTTCCTCATTACAGCTGCCCTTCATCCAGTGCTGCTCCTGCAGGAAAATCCAGACTGGAGTCATCTGGACAAATCACAGGTCCTCACACTCCTGTAGGAGTCATTGCTTTGTTCTTGGTTTTGCCATGCTCTGAAGGCTTTTGGCTCACAGAGGAACTGACTGAATTCTGTGTTGGTTTTACTGGTCCAAGCACTGTCCTTGGATCTGGCCCAGCCCCAGGCATCTGCTCTCCAGCGATGGCCTCAGCCAAGAGGTTGTTGGCCTGGGTTAGGATTTCCCAGTGAACCTGGACTGTGTGCTCCAGGGCAAGCACAGGCTTGGTGATACTGGAGAGACCTGCTACATTTTGCTCTGCGCCCAGCAGTGGGAAACTTCAGAGGAGCAACATTTCAGAAGCTTCCTGAAGATCTCATTCCTCTGAAGGCATCGGATTGCTGGCAAGTCTGAAGGGCAGGAAATATTTTAGTGGGCAGTTATTTCTGGAGCTGGCAACCTCTGCTCACTTCTTGGACCATAGTATTCTGTTAGGATGGGCCTTTTCCTCCATCTGCTCCCCAAAATCCAATCCCTCTACATTCTGGAAATTGGGATGATGTACCATGCCAACATCTTCCTTCTGATCTTCCAGGTGGATAACATCAGTGTGTGAGTCTCTCTGAAATACATCTGGGGGAGGCCTTTTCCCGAATTCCAGCCCCAACCACTGATACGGGTTAGTGATTTACAGGCCTCTCTGTCTCTGTCCTCTCCTTTAGCCCACACATGCCCAAGGAAGGAGGAGAGGCAATGGGTATTTTGTAAAAATTAATTGAGAAACGGGGAAAATTTGAAACCACAACATATTTCTGCGTGCAGCAAAACATGACATTGAAGTGGTAAGTGGAGAGCTTGTGAACGAGCCGGCTGTTCAGGAATGGCAGCTGGATATTTGTCCCAGTTGTCTCTTACCATCTGATTAAGGGAACAAGTAATTTCATCGTGCCATATAAAGTGTACTCTAACCCACTGACTAAATATAGCTGATCATTTCTAACTAATGCCTTGTTTGTGAGAGGAATTGTCAAGGAAGGAGAAAGCTGTTAACCTGGGTACTGGGAGGGACTGAGCCCTTGGGACAATCAGAGCATTCGTAGACCAAGGGAGGGACAAAAGCAGACAATGTTGTTGTCATTGGGATTTGGATGGGGTATTAGTTAGCAGCAAGGGCTACACAGGAGAAGCCTGGAGTTAACCTGAAGAACCATAAAGCTGATGCAAGATGGTCATTTTTGTGCTGTTTACTGTCTGTACATTGAAAATAGATGGGACAGGTGTTATTACAGCAGGAAGAAATGTAATATGTGTCAGTTTAAAAATGTAATTTCTAGCCCCAGCTGTTCCTCTTAAGCCTCTTCAGCTGTGCAAGGCCCCATCTCTACTCAAAGACATTCTCACATCAGTAAATCAGCCCCCACCCCAATATTGCCATGGTTCTGTATCTTATCCCTGCCTGACTTAGAGCAGCAAGTAGATGCAGGAGGTTCTGCACAGGTGGTGCTGATATGTTTGGGAGCTTTCCTGCTCCTCCCTAGTGCTGTGTCCAGTCTGCCTGGTGATTGGTGTCTTTGGTGTCAGCTAGAGCAGAATCTGGCCCATTTCCACGTGGAAATGAAGCAGTTCTGGCCTGAAATGCTGTCTGAGGAATTCCACCATGACAGCAAGCACGATGCCATTCTAGGACAACCTCCTGCACCAGCTGATGCTCAGGAGGCTCCTCAGGAGGGCACGGGATTCCAGACATCCCAGTGGTTTTTGACCTAGCAAGGCAGCAGACTCCAGCACCAGCACGTCCCTGTGAGTGCAGCATTAGTGTGTGGCACAGAGAGCTCCGAGCACGTGGCTGCAGCCAGCTCCAGCCTGGATGGCACCGGAGGACTGGGAAATGGCTTGACGGAGAGTGGTTGGGATGTGCCCACCGCCATTGTGTGACTGAAACATCCTTCCCCTCCACTCCCGTCAATGGTGTTTGCCTTTCCCTTGGCCACTGAGGTACAGGAAAGGGCCTGGGCCTGTCTTGGAAGACACGAGTCAGGAAACAGCTTGGGAGGGACAGGAGCTGCTTTCCGGGACTCTCACTTCACAGTAGTGCTCCCCAAAAACGCAGGTCCACAGGGGCAGGGCTAAGCTTTGAGCAGTGAGCTTTGGCCACTCCTGTTTTAATGGAACTGCTGGCATTGCACAGGAATTCCAAGAGGTGTGTGTACCTGCTGCTGCTCACGGGCTGCTCCTGGCAGCACCGGGACTGGGAGGGAGGGCAGGATGTGTCACCTGCTGGGGCAAGTGAATGTTGGGCATCTGGGAATTAGTGGGGCTAAAGGAAGCGACAAAGTGGAACCAGCACCATCCAGATGCTTTAGTCTTGTAAAACCAGCACAGGGAGAAATGGAACCCCTCGGATGAAAGCGCAGAGCGAAGGCTGAGGAACACTTAAAGGGCAAAGAGCATCCTTGGGAAGAGCAAACCACAGCGTCGCCTTTGGACTGAGGGTCGTGAATTGCAGGGGGAGAACTGGGATGTTTTAGCAGTGCCCCCCCCCACACAAGGCCCAGGGGCTCAGGGGATGTGGCACCAGCCACAGCGGACCGGGCACGGCTGTGCGGCTTGGAACGGGCTCGGCTCCAGCAGCTCTGCCGAGTGACTCGAGGACAGGCCGCGGCCGGCGCCCCGGTTGCCATGGCAGCGCCGCCACAACGCCGTCACCCGGGAAGTGGATCCGGGGCCGCCCAAAGTAGTTCCTCGGTGACGGCGGCGGCGTCGCGGCGCGGAGGGATCCGCCGTGTCCTGGCAGAGCGGCGGCCGCGGCCCGGCCCGGCCCGCCCGGCCCCGGCATGTTCAAGAACACCTTCCAGAGCGGGTTCCTCTCGGTGCTCTACAGCATCGGCAGCAAACCGCTGCAGATCTGGGACAAGAAGGTGAGCCGGCGGCGCCCGGGCAGCGGCGCGGCCTGGGGAGCGGAGAGGCCGCTCGCCTCCGCCTCCCGGGGCAGGCCCGGGGCCGCCGGGAACGACCGGGGGGGCTCCGGGCACCCGGGGGGCCGCTCTCGGGAACCTGCCCGGGCCTGAGCGGCCGGGTGACCTGGACCCCCGGGAAACGGGTTACTGAGACCCCCGAGTCGAGTTACCGGGACCCCTCAGGCCCGGGTTACAGGCCTGGGGTCTTTTGGAGGGGATGTGTTATTAGAAGAGTATTTCCTAAAATAAAATACTCTTATAAGGGTATAAGAGGCTCAGGAGTGACGTTATCGTTCTCTGCAACTACCTGAAAGGAGTTGGTAGCCAGGTGGGGGTCTGTCTCTTCTCCCCGTCAGGATGAGAGAGCATGTCCTCAGGCTGCGCCAGGGCAGGTTTAGGTTGGACTTCGGGAGGAAAATTCTTCACAGAAAGGGCGATTAGGCGTTGGAATGGGCTGCCCAGGGAGGTGGTGGATCACGGTCCCTGGAGGTGCTCAAGGAACGTGGCACTTGGTGCCGTGGTCTAGTGGATGACATGGTGGCATTCGGTCGTAGGTTGGACTGGATGATCTCAAAGTCTTTTCCAACCTAATTGAGTCTGTGTTTCTGTGGTTCTGTGCTGGGCAGAAGAGCCAGCGCCGTGTCAGGAGCTGCAGCAACCATAAGAGGCTACAGAAGTGTCCAGCACTGGCCATAGGCAGCGGGATGCCGAAGCCCCTTGGCTGCGAGTGGCAGCTCCTCCATAGCAGCTGCTGGAGCCAGGGTGGTGGTCTGCTCTGCTATGTGACCCATCTTCCAAACAGGCTTGCCAAAGGCATGCAAAGATGGGCTGTGTGGCAGCTTTTAGGGTGTAGGAGAAGTGAATGTCTCATCTGTTTGTTTCTCCCTCCTGTCACTTTCTAGAGTGGTTCTGTGAGGCTCCCCTGCCTTCTCCAGGGTATCTTGTGTCAAGGAGCCCTCATCAGGTGTTGAGACCTGTTGCTTCCCCTCTTCACAAACCACTCCTCGTTGTGTTGCTGCCTAACAGCGATTCTGCAAAACGCTTGTTACACTCTTTGAGAGCAAAGCTACAATCTGTATTTGGTTACTTGTGCTTGAGTCTAAGCTGAGTTTCTTGTGGGTTTGGCGGGGGCAAAAGCCTCCAAGGCATCTCAGACAGCAGTGGTGGTGGACCTGAGTGGGCTCCTGTGAGCATTTACAAGTCATGGGATGGGGGACAGGCAGCACAGACCCATCTTGTTTCTCATCAGTGGGGACCCCACAGCTTTCTGAAGAACTGGGGTGCCTCACACAGCCTGGCTGTGTGCGTGTGTTTTGCACAAATGTTCGTGACTTTAGAAAAGGGTCAGCAGCTTGTTTGGCTGGCGTGAGGACAGGACACATTAAAGACTCTTAGACAAAGGGATGTGGCGTGGCCTCCAGACTGGATAAGCCATGATCAGTCTGGGCTGACCCTGCTTGGAGGTGGAGGTTGGACTGGAGACGTCCTGAGGCACCTTCCCACGTGAATTGTCCTGTGCAGGGTGACACCCTTGCGATCATGAGGATGATGAGTGGCTGGTGGGAGCTCTGCTTGCAGGGTGGATGTTAGCAGTGATCCGTTCAGCTGCAGTAGTCACTGGATTGGCCTGAAAACACTGATGAAAAATTAGGAC